TGGTGGTGTTCATGTAGTAAATGTATACTTGCATGTTTAACTTGAAACGTGTACTGTATAAGACCTGAAAACAGTGTCCTGACTTCCCTAAGTAATCAGCACTTTATATACACACAAATCTCTGAAACAATATTTGACATTATTTTTCATCACTGCAAACACTTAACTGTATTTTGTGAAAGATTTTGTAATTACAAAACAGATTCACAATTAAAAACTGAAAAAAAAAATTCCAATTAGATTATAATTATCATCAAAGAATTCCCATTAAACACTTAAACGCATCCACTTGTACTGTCAGCCTAAATATTTGCATTTCTGGTTAAATAGTAGATGTTTTTTCCACATCAGCTCAGTTAAAAAAAAAAGTAATTTAGAAATGCTCTTTAAATGACCACTAGGTGTAGTTAAAAGCTTCATTTTAATTGTCACAAGTTGTTAGACAAGTTGAAGTGACTCCATGCATGTCTATGTAAGTAATGAATTGTTCACGAGGGGAAAATATATATATTTTTTTAATAATTGCAAGCACCTGTGCCACACAATTATAATATAATGCTACAAAATACTGAATCTTTTCTAGATTCCAGTTAACGCTGCTGTGCTCCAGTATGTGACACACGTTTCTGTCTGTGTTCAATTCTCTTCAGATGCAGCTGTTGGTGAGGCCCAGATGTTAAACACAGACTCCGCCTTTTATCCATCATGGATTCAAAGAAGCCAAGCGTATTTCAGCATCTCCGCAAGAAGATGACGCCCCATCTACGGCGAGGGAGGAACGGCCCTCACCACCGGGTGGACGAGCTCAAAAATGGCACGGATATCCGTGCCAGCGCCTCTGTTCCTGACATGAGGAACCTGGGAGAACAGAGCGCCGGCATCTCCTCCAGCCCACGGCACAGGCACAGGAACGTTCCCAGCTACAGCAATCCCTCAACACCACTCATCAAACCAAACAGAGGCTGGACAGAGGGTGGGAGTGGCCTGAACACGAGAGCAGTCTCAGCTACAGGTGCTGGAAGGAATGAAAACAGACTGAACGTGCCTTCCGACACTACAGACTGGGCTTCTTTGCAGGGGTCGTTCCCTTGTCTGTGTGACACAGAGAAAGATTCTCTGGAAAAGAACTACAGTACTAACAAAGGCATGGAGCCGGAGGAGACGTACTCCCCAGAGATGACCGCCTACGGCCCTGACTCGTACTCTGCAGGTGGTTCCCAGGACGGCTCACAGGTAGGCGAAAAAAAGTTTTACATCAAGTATAAACACTCTTTAAATGTCATTCATACCATATCGTAAAAATTAAAAAAAAAAGAACAAGTTTTACATCAAGTATAAACACTCTTAAAATGTCATTCATACTTTATCGTAAAAAAAAAAAGAATGTTTTATTTCTGTCCAGTGCCTTACAAGTACGAGAACTTTTGGTCAGGTGATTCTGTTAGTTCAGGCTGGCATGAGTGCAGTGCCAGGTGTGTGTACACAGGGCATGTGAAGTTTGACTTGGAGGAGCTACATGTAGAAGAACTGGGCTGGTCTGTCATCACTGGACAAACTCTGGCTGCTGTGTGTGTTTTAGGTCTGCTGCGGCCTAATGAGATTATGAAACCTGATCATACCATGACTCAGGACTGGTTAAATCTCAATGTGTTCACTTCCCCACCGTGGGATGATGCTAATGTGCTGAGACAGGACTACTGATAAAAGTCATTGGCCAATCATGTACAGCAACATATTTGGCAAAGATTTTGCAACCTCACCTTAAAGCACTTTTTTTTTATCTGCCTTGATCTTTCATTAACGTTCACTTCGATTATTCAGCATCGCATTTCTGCGATATACGTATATGCAGCTGTTGATTTTGTAATTGTTTGTTGTCTCTCCCACTGACCGTTGTGAAACTCGTTTGTTGTTTTTTTTGTAACTCAGTTTAACTCAGTGATCTCTGCTGACTGAATACCTGAGGAGAGAGTCGTTATTTAAGCAATGCAAGTTGTTCACTCTTTGACACAGTTCAAGTTTGTTTGTTTCACCTCTGTTGTTAGAGGTGTGAGTCACATGACTCACAAAACTTGCTGTGAGCTTTCCGCAGTTGCATTTGTAAAGCAGTGTTTTAGTTTCCAAAGAACTGGTCAGAACAACCACTGCCCATCGTCAACATCATCCCATGTTTAAACTAAATGTTTTTTTTGTTTGATTTTTTTGTATGAAAACTCAAGCAAGTCAAGTTATTTACACCTGAAATAATCCCGTATAAAATACCATGCTTTAAAATAAAGGCCAAGCTAAATATCGAATGTTTTTGGTGGAAAATGATGAAACTTGTCATTACATTGTGGTTGGTTTGTCATGTAAAATATTGTTGCTCCAGATGACATCCTGGATGGTTGCTAACTTGACTTCAGGTGTGGCTAGTTTAATAACAGTTTGTCTGAAGTTGTTGCATTGAGGCCATGGTATACAACCTGTGGCTCTCGGGCCACATGTAGCCTTTTTAGTCCTTTGCACTGGACTCCATATGAGATTATATGGTCTGATCAATGTGAATGTTTACTGCAAAAATAATTAATGATGCGTAAATTGCTTCAGCTGTTAGATTTTTTTGGTGAGTATTCAGAAATCTGAATACTCTTGTGTTTAATTGATTGTTACAAGTAATCCGTAATTGTAAAAAAAAAAAAAAAAAAAATCCACTTAGACGCCACGTCTCGTTATCTCGTCCCATTTCGTCCAGTCAAGACTGTAGGTAGTAGAATCGTGTGACTGTGTCAGACTGTGAGGACGACATTGTAATCAGTTAAGTCTTTTAGAGAGTGCTTTATAATGACTGTGTTCAACACCACAGAATCCTGTTTGGTGAATGAACTTCCTATGAAGCTCATTGTTCCATAAATACCACATTCAAGCCTCCCCACCTACTGTATGTTGATCGTAATCCACTTCATGCTTTGGCCTTTTTTTTTTTGTTTCCTGTCGATGTCAAACAGGAGCAAGAATCGTCCTGTGTTTTTACTGAACTGTTCAATACTGCACCATTCTGTGTACAGTATGTACTGTATGGTCATTTATACAATGGATATGGATTATAATTATGCACTATAGTTTAGGGCAAATGTTTAGCGCAACTTTCCCTGTTGTCCATTAACAGTAGGTGTGGCTAGAATGCGGCAGGACCAGTGTCACAGTAGTCCTCCAGAGATGACACTCACCGTGGCACGCTTGTTCTTTAGGATGACAACAGACAACAAGATTTGTAACGCGGGAACAGCGTAGATCGTAGCACCACAGAAGGATGTTGAATAGCTGCAAATCTTTGTAAAATAAAAAAAAAGTTTATTGTAACCATTAACATTGTTAATGTTAATGGTCACATAGTGTAGCGGTTATCATGTCTCCCTCAGAAACAGAGAGCAGAGAGTCCTAGGTTCGATTCCAATCTAGTACAAATAGATTCAATATAGTACAAATTTATTTTTTAATACATTTTAATAGCTGTGTGTGCTGTGTGTTCAACAGGCCATTCTATACAAAGTTCACTTTGGTGAAGACAATTTATTTTCTATATATATTTATAAACTATATATGTTTCAGTGGTGATGGACAGACGTGTCATTTGATCCCTTCTTAAACCCAGTGATACTGCATTTGTCAAGTCATAATTGTTTCATCTTTAAAGTCAATCTTTGCTGTTTTCCAACATTCCAGCTACTAATAATGACATCCAGGTGCAAAATGAATAATGAACTGAATCTACTGCTCTTGGTCTGACATTTATTTTGTTTATGTTAATGTAAAAAAAAAAATATATATATTAACTTTTTTGTTTATGTTAATGTTAAAAAAATTTATTATATTAACTTAACAAATATATATATAAATAGTATTTTTTTTTTTTTGCACAGATTGAAGAACAACCAGTCTAAACCAGGGTGTAGCACGTTGTTATTTGCCTCTGGGTCAATGAGCAGGTTTATTTTCTCATAACAAACCCAGAAGAATTCAGAAAACATAGTCTGTAAAACTGGAACATCTGAGTCTTTGTCCCAGATCCATCAAATGTTGACAGATTTACTGTTGTGTTTGTGTAAATACTTTCACTAAAAGTTATGAGGCACCGTAACGGCTCCAGAGTTTAACTCCTAAATCTTTATTTATTAAAAGAGAGTTTAATTCATGGCCCGGTCATTATACTGTGTTCTTAGGTTTAACTAACATGTCAGCGGGAGGCTGGAATTTTCTTAATTAGAGATTAAAGGATTTGCCCCAGTGTGAGATTTTTAATTTAGATTAAAAAAAAAAAAAAACTCAAACGTTCCGTTTCCCCTCACTTTGTACAAGCTTTGAAATGATTTTCTTCAGGTAAGAGAAGAAACAGAAATATAACATGGACTTTTCTCTCCTGCAGTACGACAGCAATGAGTTCTGTGGAGACGCACTAAAAGACGGAGACAGCCATATGGTAAGATCTACTTCTTTTTAGATTGTGTTCATGAGTGACTTTGTGAAGTTCTATATTAATAATTAATTCATTAACTTTTTTTCTTTTGGTGGATAGGGTCTAAATATTCATGAAACTGTGGTCGAAACCATTAAAATATATTCTGTTAAATTTTTGGATTTTTGTGGATGTAAAAGTTGGATATTCTGTTAAATTTTTGGATTTTTGTGAGTGTAAAAGTTGGACAAGTTAACAGCAACCCAAAATATCAGTCCATGGAAATAAATCTCCATGAATATTTTTGAGTTAATCGTAATTTATGAAACAGCTTTTGAATAATGAGTTTGAGGAGAAACCTTTCAAATACTAATTCATTCTTTCCTACATTTTGCTGCTCAGCAATGATCTGTTTTATAACTGGACATGAACCTTCTCATAAAATGTAAAATGACTTTTGGGTTTTTTTTTTATTCCAAGCACAAATGTTTTGTGATGTAAAAAACAAAACAAAAAAAACCCCAAACCCATATCTCTTTAACTATTCAAAAAAAAACCCCAAACCCAAATCTCTTTAACTATATATAAACACAAAACCTGTATTATTTATTAGACCTGATGACTGTTTTATTGTGGCTGATTAAACAGACAGTTAATAACAAATCTTCTGAAGGATGTAAGAGGTTAAATGCAGAGAGTGACCCCCCCTACAGGATTGATGGGGTAACTGAACTAAATACAGCACCAACTAATAACTGTCTGTCAAGATGACAGTTCGAACAACCTTCTAATTGAAAATTATTGTCACAATCTGAGCTTCCGTCCAACCTCCCTCTGACCCTCTGACCTGTTTTGTTTGACGCCGTCACATGAGAGAGGAGAATGTCAGTGTGTCTAACAGTTAAACAACCGTGATGAAAGAAGAGTGATGAAACGTGTGATCGTTTCTCTGGGGTTGAGTAGTCTGGGATGTTTTTGAGCTGCTTCTCTTCCTGGAAATGTGTCTTACTGCACATCATACCCACAGTGTCGTCGGTCACTAAACGATTGCCATGACTTTGACTCTGTGACTGCCAAAACTAATATGTTACAGACTAATTGACTGAAGCAATTGACACAAACAATCATGTCATTTATATTAATGAAGGCCAATTCTGGAAGTGCTAAAAAAAAAAAAATGAGTTTCACAAGATTCACAGAGATTCACAAAGGCCTCTGTCAAGTATGAACTAGTGCTGCACGCCGTGCGAGAGACTCATGTTTTATTTTCCTAATTATAAGAGCTTTAGTGTAAGACGTGTTCTTTGAATGAAGTTTTACAGAAAAAAAATGCTTGGATTAAAATCTGAGCTCTCAGTGAGCCACTCCCTGATTTCTGCTTATTTCATATTCTTGAAAGTTCCGATCAGAGGCCACAACAAGCGCTTGTCCAACTGTGTTTTCATGTGTGTGTTTAACTTTCGTGTAATATTTGGTTGGATCAGAGTTGGTAAACACATTATTTGTTCTGCGTTGCTTCTGTCACCTCTTCTGTTCTGTTGCATGTGTAATTTTAGATTTTTGTGTTAAATGATCGGTATGTGATGCAGCTCTATTACGACCTCGATGCAAACAGGTTTTATCTTAAATTTAGTTACTACAACAAAGGTTTCCGCAACAATGACATGGAAGACGCCTGTCAACCTGATCTTTGACACAAAAGCCCATCAAAAACACCAGGTTATTTGCTGATCTGTAATCACTTGAAAAAGTGCAAAGGTCGTTTGTAATCCAAAACCTGACACCAGGACGAGGATTTCCCCATTTACAATGTCCTCAATGAGCTGAGAGGAACTTTGGTGATTTTTATTTTTTTTATATGTAAGTGGACCAGTGACAGTTCAGCTTCTCTGCTTGCACTTGACAGCGTAATTGCTTTGCTAACAGTGTAAGTAACAGGAGAAGTAATGATGCGTCTTTGTTGCTTTGTGTCCAGAGTGAAATGGGCAGCAAGTCTCCCAATGTGTCCGAGAGCACGAGGGATTCTCCCAGGTCCTTCCTGCTCACCATCAACCTAAAGGAAGGATGCAACCTGGTCATCAGGGACCGCTGCGGTAAGACAATTATCTTAACTATACTTTTTTTTTTACTACTGGGGTGCTAATATGCTAAAGGCTGTCTTTGTTAGCTTTGTTTGGTGTAATATGGTGATGCTGCCGGACAATAGCCGCGCTCACAGAAAGAGCCGTATCAATTTACCCACAGGTATCATTAATGCAGCAGAGTTTACTCAGCGGGGCTTCTCTCGTGTGTGTCGTGCACAATGTAGCAGCTGTCCTGTTCAAACCCGTGCAGTACAATGGAGCCACCCAATGTAGGCAGAAGTAGAGGAGGTACCGTGAGCAGGGACACAGTCCGCTGTGCTCTGAGCAAACATACGCAACTAAATCAACAGGATCTTCAATGATGCCTGAGCCTGGGAATCATCCCGTGTTATTGACTCAAGCATTTTATTTTAGAAAAACAAATGTTAATGAAAATATGACCTGTTCATATGTGAATAATACATTTAATTAATTATTTCATTTCAAAGGACTAATAATATGGAAATTTCTGATAAAGAGAAATAGAAATAAAAAGTAAAAGCAGAAAAGAAAAGTAATAGAAATGTCTGTGGGTAAATTGCTTAGAAAGTATTGGAATGTCCCTTTAAAGTTTTAAGCAAGTTTTCCCTGCTTTGCATATTGTGTGGTTCTGGGTTATGGTGTTTTTTTTTTTCATATTTTGATGTAATTTACATTTATTTTAATATTCAGATCATATCAACAACTGGTTTGTAGGAATTTCACTTTTACACTGCTCGTGTTGCAGACTTTCTGCTTCAGCAGCCGTAATAAACAAACAAAAAAATCAACTTTTGATTTTCTGTGGTCCACACAAATGAAGAACATGTGTCATATTTGTCACATTCAGCGCAACCTCAAATTCCAGTAGTATTTGTAATGTTTGTGTGGCCTTATCTACAGCCTGATTGGTTTTCTCCACCTACTGTCACTCTGTTGTTAGATCTTCTTCATGTCATGACTCACTGATGACCTCACTGCTGCTGTTATACTTCAGGTTTTTGTCTCCTTAAAACTGAAGAATGTTGACTGAGAATGTTCTTTTTTTTTTTTTTTTTTTAGTGAGTCACACTGTGGATGTGAATGGACTGGAGATGAACTGTTTTAGGGCAGGTTATCTTATTATGTTTTTTTTTTTGGCTCCAACTCAAGTCTGATGTCTTCTTAGTCTGATGTCATGGAATTCATGACAGGTTTGAGTCCACACCTCACTGTGTTATTCCTGGTCCTATCACCAATGTTTACACGCATCTGTATCATGAACCTGTGAGAGTCTGTGATGTGTTTTTTTTGTGGCTGATTTGACCAGCGCTGTGTCCTCCGGCCTTCACGTGGCCTCACTCTGTGTTTTCAGCCTTGGTTTTTCTGCTACCACCAACACCTTAAATAATAGACACAGCGTCATTGACTCCGGGGACGGCAGAGGGAGTCGAGTGTCATGTCGGCTGTGCGGCTCTAGTAACAGCCGGGGCTGGATTCCACACAACATATTACAACCTGTCTGAGCCGCACCCTGCAGACCTCCTCTGTCTTTATTCCTGTCTCACATGGCTTTGGTGTTTACCTTAACAGTCACTAAGGAACAATAATAGTTAGGGTAGGGGAAGTGTATCAGCCTGAGAAGAAAAATGGTAAAAGCTGTGTGTGAGGTTCAGTTTGATGTAATCTGATGATGTACAAGTAGAAAACAACCACAAAAAGTTTTGTTGTGTGAAGACCAATAGGGAAATAGTTATAAATGAACATCAAAACCACAGAGAACCAGACTGGTTCTGACTGGTTGCCTTGCTGCCCTCATCTGGTGGTTTTAAAGAACACTGACTTTTCTGTGATAAGGAAAAAAAAGAAAGAAAAGTGTTAATGAAACAAACATTCAATATTTCTGCTTACAGTTCAAAGGTATTTGTGATTAGTTGTTGTTGGAGGCAGACATGGAAAGAAAAAAAAAAGTTTATCTCCTGGTGACACATGGTTTCTCATTCATTCATTAAAATATAAAATAATCCAAAGTTTAACCTTCCTTTTTTTGACTTTTTTTTTAATTTTATTTTTTGTTTATAATTTAGAACCTGAGCCTTTCATTGGCCTCACTTTTCTTTTGTCGCCTACACACAAAAAAATATAAATGTTGTAAAACCTGCATTGATTCACTTGTCTTTTCCTCTTTCAGGCACCAGTGATCCTTACGTGAAGTTCAAACTAGACGGAAAAACCTTCTACAAAAGTAAAACCATTTATAAGAACCTCAATCCTGTATGGAATGAAACCTTTTCTCTACCTTTGAAGGATCTGAATCAGAAACTTCACATCAAGGTAAAACTTTACACTAACAAGTCGGTGAAGCTTATTTAAATTTCTGAGATAGAAACAAAACGGTCAGATGTGTTGGCTTATTTAAATTTCTGAGATAGAAACAGAACGGTCAGATGTGTTGCTATTTTCTTCGTCTTTTTTTTTTCTTGTGCTTCGAGGATCTTTTTATTATTATTATTATTCTATTTCAAATTTTTTTTTAACCACTGACCACTAAATAGTTTGACTTTTTTTTTGTACTGTAGATGAACTTTGAATGCAAAAGTACCAAACATGTTATTCAGTATTTTAGCTCTGCTTCAACACTGTTACCAAACACATTCAGTTTGTTATAAAAACCCACTAATATCCAAGGTTGCTGCTTTAGAGTTTAAAAAAAATGTTTAATTGTCTGCTGTGTGAATTAGTTTTATATTTATTATAAAAACTTGATAAGATTTGTTAAAATGTTTCCATGTTCATTCACACTTTTGTCAACAAACAGGTCTACGACCATGACCTGACCACCGATGACTTCATGGGCTCGGCCAGTTACCTCCTCAGTGACCTGGAGTTTGACAAGTGAGTTTTTGTCTGTTTAGTCTTTCACATCTGGAGTTGGAAAAGAGTTTTCTAGGATGCTGGAAAAAACAAATCACTTCACTTATGCCGATACAGAAAAGTTACTTCAACCTGGAAATGCTTTCGACAGTTTTGTCACTCACTCTAACGCAGTGTTCAAGGCAACTGGGAAAATGAACTTGTCCAATGAGGAGACACGATCACTGGCCAATTTTCCTTTGTCTAATCTGAGGAAGCATTAACACTGTAATTACCTCGAGTTGAGACCTTAATCAGTGCTGATTATAGAAAGACACGCAGCTTTGTTTCACACGTTCTGTCTTCAACTTTATTCTTCACTAGTTCATCCAAACTGTCCCGCATCTGCATGTGATCAGGTCAGAACCAGTACAAGTACCAGTGATTTACTGTTGTTTACTTGCTGATAATGAATACCAATGCTGACACTTCACCAGGTTGGAAGAGAAACTATAGGTTTGAGCTCAACCTGAACCTGAACCACAATGAGGAAACTGAGCATTAAAAAGACCTGAAGCTGGTTTTATCTTCTTCTCACTTCTTCTTGACATTGAGAACAGGGGTTAGCTGAACAGAAAGTGAGTAAAGCTTAAACACCAATAATGCATTTCATTTGTATTTGAATAAAGTATTGGGCCTACCACTCCAGTAGTCAAATTAGAATTACTGTTAGTTCATTAGTTAATCTTTCAGGAATAGCAAGGCTCCACCCTGACCACAGATTAAACCCTGGCGTCACGGTCACCAGATCACTACCAGATAAGGTCTTTGAGAACTCCCTGCGACCTCCTTCTGACATTGACTCAATCTGACTCCTCTCTCCCAGAGTGAACAAGCTCTCCCTGCGCTTGGACGACCCCAACAGCCTGGAGGACGACATGGGCCACGTGCTGCTGGACATGAGTCTCTCAGTCAGAGATGGGGACAGTAGAAAAGGCCAAGTATGGCCACACGTCCTACGCTGTCAAACCACTGCATGCTTGTTCACAACGTTTGCATGTTCAGTGCACATTATGTTGTTACGTGTTTGTGTGTAACTGTGTACTAACCACAGTTTTGTTTTTTTTTTTATTCTGCATCTAACACGCATGCTCCTGTTGGCAGAGGTGGCCCCAAATACGAAAACGAAGTAGTAGGGTAAGACATGAGTCAGGGAAACTAATGCTTCTAATCACTACACGTCCAAAGGGACATCAATACATTTTTATAAACAGACTTGATTAATATTGATATTTAATCAACTCAAAATGAAATCATTAATTATTAAGAGTAAATAAAAAAATATGTATTTTCCTGTCTCTAAAAAATATTTCCAGTTTTACGTCTTCTTTAGCTAAAGGGAAGGACATTTGAATAATAATTGAGGTGGAATGAAACGTCGGGCTGTTTTTGTTGACAACTGTTAGTGAGAAATAAACACTTCACTATGGAGTTTTGACAGATGTGCTGTTTCACTGATTAGTTGTTTTCCCACTGAACAGCTGCTGGATGTATGTTTGTTCTCCGCTTTAATCACTGTTGTCTGGAAACGCCGCCGACGTCTCCCGTGCATGAATCTCTCTCAAGGGTAGAGTGACAGTTATTTCATTAGACGCTGCGGCCGCCCCAGCACCACATGTCTCTGCTCAGCCCTCGTCTGTGAACTGTTGACAGTTGTGTCACCCTGTGAGTTACGGCCACTGACTTTGTTTGGAAGCTGTCTGCATGACCTACGACATACATGTTTTGGCTTCCTTTATCGCGCACCACTGCCAAGTGCACGCAGTGTAACTTATTAACCTTAATACCTAATATTTTTTGTGGTCCTTCACGAGGCAGAGCTGAGTCACGCACACGACTCTGGTTTATACCATTTTTTTTCCAAAGTGAAACCCAATCAGCCTGATAAACTTAACTGTCAGTTTATTTTATCAACTTGGCTTTTTAATCTTTTTAAGTATCAAAAAGATGTGTATGTAACTCACAGTCCTGTTACTTTTTTATAGTTACATTTGGATAGTTAACTTTTTTTCCAGGGAGAAGGTGATTGGAAACTTTTAATGTATATTTGCTTGAATATTTTCCCTTTTCCTTTTTCCCGTCCAGTCCGGAGGTTCCTCTCCACACCAGCGTCTGTCGGAGACACTGAAGAAGAGTCAGTTGTGGACGTCTGTTGTGTCAGTGACTCTGGTTGAAGGCCAGGATCTGCAGATGGACTCTCAGGGAGGTCAGCTCTTTGTTCGCTTCAAACTGGGAGACCAGCGATACAAAAGCAAGGTATTGGATGAGCAAAAAAAAAAAGAAGCTATTTACATCCTGCAATTTCTTTTAATTTGTCCTGTTATTGCCTTCATGTCTTTGCTTTTTAAACCTAATAATTTGGTTTAGGATGTTTTAGAAGTGTTGTTGATGCTTTTCAAATGTCATATTCTTCATGAACAATCTTTTCTGCCATGACAAACACAAAAAGGATCTGTCTTTAAACAGTTGTACTAACATAAGTATTGGTTGAAATATTTGTCTTTCTGTATGCAGTAATTTTCACACACTTAACCTTTGCTCAACTCAACTGGAGAAGGCGGTGTCTAAAAGCATCTGCTCAAATATGTTACATTTAACAAAGAAAAATGATCATTTTAAAAGTTATTTTGTCAGGAGAGTGTGTTTGAGATTCTGAATATAAATGTGAATTTTTGTCTGTGTTTTTTAGTGTCGTATCTACTTTTCTAAACCTCGTGATTTTTTGACTATTTAATTCATATACATGTTTTTTTCCCTTCATGTAGAATCACTGTAAAGTGGCCAGCCCTCAGTGGAGGGAGAAGTTCAGCTTTAACATGTTTATAGACAGTCCACACATCCTGGAGGTTGAGCTCTGGTCCAAGGAAGGACGAAGACCTGAGGAGTGTCTGGGAACGTGAGTCAGACCTCACCTCTGATATATATATCATACACTTATTACTTCACACTGAAGGTTTGGTTTAGAGACGCGAGAAAATATCCACTAAAACTTTAGTTTAGACAAAGAAATAAATATGTGGTATGTAAGATGAGATTAGTCTAAATAGCTTTTATTCACTTGTGTTGCTTTTTTTTAAGTACTCTGTATTTATTTATGTTTGCATGCACTTTGTTATTAAGTTTCATTTTGTGCACAGGTGTGAAGTGGACCTGTCCACTGTCCCGTTAAATGAGAGACAGGTGTACAACCACTCTCTGAATCACGGACGTGGAAGTTTGGTTTTCCTGCTCACCGTGAACCCCTGCAGAGGCGTCTCCATCTCTGATGTCTGTGCTGCACCTCTGGACGAACCACAGGAGCAGCAGATCCAGCTGGAAAACTATGTAAATGATACTAAACCGTTTTTTGTTTTTTTTGGTTTGTTGTTGCCAAACAGTCTATTTTATGTAATATTTAGTCTATTTGCAATTTCATTTTATTTACATAAACAATAGAATATCATTCCATCTAAAAGTGCTGAACTGGTGTCCATATTAGAAGAAGTAAACAAGGACTTTATTGTTTATAAGCGACGAAAAGCAGTGTTCTGTTTAACAACCACGAGGTGGCAGTATAGGTCTGCACGGATTACAGGGAATTACAGGGCGCAAGCGACTCTATTTTGTCACTGAGATAATTGGCTAAGTATGACATCATGTGACAACAAAGAGTACATGTTATTGGTCTGCATTTCCTGGACGTGAGGGGCCGTAGTGAATGTAAAAAAGGTGCCAGTTAAAAAACGATTTGTGGCAGTAGTTCCTGGTTTTTGTTAATGTGTCAAAAATAATCAATGGTTATCATTAATTAAGAGAGTTTATATAACATCATATAAACATTATAATTAGTTTATTAGCACATTGACCGATTTGTTAATCACTGGTTTATTTAACTGTTTATAACATCATATAAACATTATAATTAGCTTATTAGCACATTGACTGATTTGTTAATCACTGGTTTCTGGTTTATTTAACTCTTTGAAACAAAAGAAGGCAAATATGTTACATAAACCAAAACATTTACATGATTTGATTTTTTTTTATAATTTATTATTGTTCACATTACTATCATGACTAAATTATAGAGTAACTAATCTTATAAAGTAGGATTTTTTAAAGGTATTAAAAGTTTTTTAGTTTGCTCACGATGTTTACATTTTTTAATGTAATCATTTATCTGCAGTATAAACTAATATATTCCCCACACGTCTTAAAATGTAGCACAATATTTTCTAAATCAAATTAATTAACTACAAAGTTTTGTAAATGTCTTGGATTATATTTCTGCTATAAATATTTTCTTAACGCTTGTGTGTTCCTCCCGCAGAGTTTGAAAAGTTCACTGAAAAACCTAAATGATGTTGGGTTCCTTCAAGTCAAGGTCCTTAAAGCTGTAGATCTGCTGGCTGCTGATTTAAATGGTAATTAGTCACACAGATGGATTCTCCTTCACTGGTGATGTGTTTTGTTTTTTTTATTCAGGAACGGCTAATGACAGAAAATGTGTTGAACGCCATGTTGTGTTGTCTTTTGTAGGCAAGAGCGACCCGTTCTGTGTGCTGGAGCTGGGAAACGACCGACTTCAGACCCACATCGTCTACAAGACCCTCAACCCAGAGTGGAACACGGTCTTCACATTGTCAGTTTGACTTGCTTTTTCTTTTCTTTTATAAACACAGAGCTAGCAGCTTCCACCAGTGGGTGCTGTAAACACAGTTGAAATCACTCTGTACATCACATAATCAAGTATAAATGAATCTGCTGTGATAGATACTACAAATAATAGAAACTGTTTGATGCCATTATGAGCGACATGTCCTGTTTTTTCTGCTCTGCAGTCCTATCAAAGACATCCATGATGCCCTGGTGGTGACTATCTTTGACGACGACGGCGATAAAGCGCCAGACTTCCTGGGGAAAGTGGCCATTCCTCTGCTCTTGGTACGGACTCCCTCACCATCCCTGATCCTGTTCTATTTACAAAAGCACATCTTTACAACTAAATATCGCTGCACTTTACACTAAAACACAAAGACACAAATAAAAAAAACAAAACAAAACAACTGCAATTATAAAATGAAGGAATATAATTTGCAATACGTTTACAATTTATTCTCGGATGTAAATAAATATCTGGCTGTGTTCACCTTTCAATCAAAGACTAATCGTTTGTAAATGTTCCTTATTAAATTACATGTTGTGATTAAGGTTTTTGAGACATTCCTTCAAACAGCAGCATGTTCTATTATAATTATTATTATTTTATTATTATTATCTTAATTATCAATTATTACCACAGCAGACTTTAAGTACGTGTGAGTTCCAGAGTCACTGGTGTTTGGGTTCAGCCCGTGACCTTGTTTTTGTCTTGCAGATCCATAGGGGGCAACAGATCGCCTTCCCTCTGAAGAAAGAGGACTTAAGCGATCTGTCAAAAGGGAGCATCACTTTAGAGCTGGAGGTTATTTTTAACCCTGTGAGTATGAGTCGGGTCATCTGAATATGGTGGACATGAATTATAGACCTGGTTCTGTTTGTTCCTCATTGATGCACTTCTTCTTCTTCTTTTTCTTCACAGGTCAGAGCAGGTATAAGAACCTTCCAGCCCAAAGAGAGAACGTTTGTGGAGGACAATCCCAAGTTTTCCAAAAAGGTGTGTTGATCACGTTCATTTTTGGTGTTTAAATTGAGAAACAAAAATTGTAATAATGTATTTTTTTTATACAGTTTGAATTATTTAGTTTAGGTCATTAATTATTATATTTGATAGGGACCTGTAAATACATTAACTTTTTTTCATTTAAAAAAACCTATATTTTCCAAAACAAAACATTTTGCAGTTTATTTATATTATCCTTTCCCACAGCCTGTAGCTCTCGAACCAGTCTTTAATAATGTATTAAATTAAAATGTTCAAAGTTTGTTTGTATAGAATATTTTCCACATAATTACACAGTTCAATTTCATAATAAAAGTTGCTGAAAATGTTCAAAGTTTGTTTGTATAGAAACCCAAAACCCAAAACTTTTCATATCATATCCCTAAACTTTCAAGGCGACTGAAATAATAAAAACCCTGCAGAGTTTGTTTTTTTTTCTTTTTCCCAACAATATTTTTTTTTTCTCACATAGTCAATGTGAGATTTTTCTCTGCGCCTTGAAGGGAGAGAAGCAAATGAACCATATTTGACTGTTTTCTTTGCCTGATTTATCTCTCTATCGCCATCCTCGTACTGAGCAGGACTTCTCCTGAATTAGTTGAATTGAGCTTTAATTGACCCCTACTGTGACTGAGCTCTTGTCCACTGTTCTACATGAGTTTGAACTACAGTGTGCATGACAGGCTGTGACACAGGGTGCCTGACTGTCTGTTCTCCGCACAAAGACTCATTGTTGCCAGACAATACGTCGCTCACTAACACCAAAATTGGCTTTCACTCAGATGGATTCAGATGTAATGTGCAGCATTTCGGTTTGTTTAAATGTTGAAAGTCTTGCTTGACAGTAATCAGGTCAGATTACTGACATTTTTTCGCCCAGTGACCGCGGCAGCCTGCGCCAGAACATGCTAGCTACTCCGACATTGTTTCACTGGTTGACCTCGGGATGTTTTTTTTTTTTGCTTGGCACAAAAAAAAAGTCTAAACCCCATTAAGTGTTTTATTATTCATGTTTTAAACATACCGTTATAATATTTATGTTTTGCATGTTTGTAATGTGTATCTTTCAGGCTCTCGCCAGGAACGTGCTGCGTGTTCAGACACTGTACAGGGCTATCATGTCAACTCTGCAGTACATCAAAAGCTGCTTCCAGTGGGAGAGCGTTCAGAGGAGCCTGCTGGCTTTCCTGGTGAAGTGCATTTACTGCTTATCATCATACTATTCGCAGCTCCACTCTCTGTTCTCCCTCCAAGGCTGCGGAGGGAGAGCCCAGCCCCGGTCAACTCTCGCCTGAACTCTCCCAGTGAGAATTCTAATCAATGCAGCGTTGGGCTCAGTAGAAACACAGGCTTGGCCGCGCACTCGCTCTAGAGTGGACGTTCTCAGAGATGTGTGTGCCGTTGGAGCAGTGTTAAGCCTCAGCTGCCGAGAGAAGAGTCCCAGTGGAGTTGAGATGGTCTATTTTTGTTCTACTTCCCTGACAACTCATTAACCCACTGTCCAATCTGTGCTCAGTGTGATTCAGCCCCCCATTATGCCAACAAAAGTCCAATTAAAAAGCTCTTCAGAGATAAGGCAGATTCTCCATCAGTCCATTGTTCAGTACAAGTGCAAAAACAGAAGCAAAGCCCTTTGCAATTGGAAACGGGAGATGATCTTTTTGACATTCTTCTCTTCCAACTGTAGGTCTGTCCAAACCACACACACACACAGCGAGATGCGCTTTACACATGCGTAGCAATCAAGGTCATTCAGAGTTCCTTTTGTTTTTACAGCTGACGTCCTGTAGATGGCATTAAAGCTTTTCCTCAGCGTGTGAAGATTTTCCTCTTGGACTTGTGAAGTGCTACTGTAAGCCAGCCAATAGTACAGTTGGTTCAATTTGCTGTGAAAACATGATCTGCAGCACAGATCTGTTGTCTCAACTGAAGCCAATGGCAAAGTTTAGTCGCTTGTTTATTATTCCGTACAACTTTTTTTTTGCTTTTTTAGAGACTGCGCGGTCCAGGGTGAGGGAAGAGGAGTCAGCGGTTCTTAATCCGGGTCGCCATCCGTCTAATGCTATAAACCGTGGTTGATGTCTCTAGGTTTTATTTGATCACAGATTATTATCGGGATATTGCATTTGAATAATAACCGGTTCCACCCCCATCTCTGTTTCTATAATATTTAATAATTATTAGGGAGTATGTTGTTGTTTTTGCCCGACAACTCAGCCAAAATGGAAAAAAAAAAAAAAAATCATGCAAGCATTTAGCGAGCAGACAACACACACACACATACACACACACACATACACATCCTCCCACTACATCCCGGGGTTTGAAATACAGCACCATCTGTACTCTTGATTTCACACTAATTCTACCAGCTTTTTTAAGTCCCAGGAGAGGAGGAGAAGAAAAAGATGGCTCCTTGAAACAAGCACATAGCAGTAAAGAATCAAAGGTTCATTTCACATCACAGGAGACAATGTCTGTTAAAAAAACCATTATGCAGAAAGCTGTGGTATCTTAACAGGTGTACCTTAACACCGTGAGACGTTCGCTGTCAGTGCTTCACCACACATGTATGACACATCAGCTTCACATGACTGTCTCTGTTCTGTTTTGTTTTTTTTAATTATAGCCTTGTTCCCGTGAAATACATTTCAAGGAAATGGGAAAAAAAAAGAGGAGCTGATGAGGACGCATGATGGCAAAATTATAAATCATTGAAAGTTAAACAGCGGCACGCGAGATAAGAGTGGCTAAAAACAACCACACTCGTTAGAAGTTTCAGAATTAGAGTTTGCTGCTTAAACAATGTGGATGATCTTGAAATATATATAGTTATTTTAACTGTAACATTAAAACTGTTTGTTTAGAATTCAGCAGCAGCAACACCAAAAAGATTATTTTTTAAAATTATTTTGGCATGCTCGCTCTCCAACAAAAAGAGAGGGTTGCCTAAAATAGAACGATGCACAAGACGAGAAACAAAGAAAACCCAACACACAGCAGCGGACGTCACTTCCAGCTCTGTCTCTGTTTATACTCCAGTGTTGACCAGCTAAAGTTTAGACTTCCTGAAAACTGCTACCAAAAAAAGTCTTGTTTTTTGACTGAAGTTTTAGTAACAGATCAGAGGACAGAGATAATATTTAAATGTGAAGTAAGATTTTTTTTTAAAAAAACAAAAGTGTGGCTTTGTAAACATGGAGTGGATGTGACTGACGGACCTGCCTGCAGTTTAGATCTTGCTGGAAAATTGGAGAAAAACCACACGAAAATACTCGTAAATATTCAAAATAATCGAAAATAGTCTTATATGAATCTGTCCCAGCATTTTCTGGACAGTATTTGCTGTTACTTTCAAAATTATTTTTAATTTAGCAAATGTTTAGCAAATTTGTTTTGCTCAAACACTAGAGCCTTTTACTTGGTCTTTAGTTTGATAAATGAAGATTAAAATCAATACCAATTTTTTTTTCTTTTTAAAAATATAAAAAACTGCGATCACTAATGTGTTCTTGTCCTAAAGGAAGTTCCATGTAGCATTTCCTAGTTCTCTGTAATTATTTGGATTCCAGTCATGATTTCACTGAGTGAGAAAAAACAAGACACAATCAGCCATAGATAATTTTACTGCTTTTAAATTAAATTAACTGCAGTTTTTTTTTCTTATTCCTTCTTATCCTCTTTGATCTGGATCCTCTTTCTTCCTGTTGAAGTCCGTGTGACGCCTCTCTAACTGCACTTATCACCATCTTTATAGCCAAAGTATACATTTCCACAAAAGCGTGACTTGGCTTTTTCCCCCATGTCCAAGCCCAGTCCCCACTAATATACCGTGTCCCTGTCACCGAGGACTTGTTCCTCCTCCTCCTCCTCCTCTCACAGTCCTTTGTTATTGGCCCGTATTAACACAGACAGGAGCCTGCTTGGCTTTTTGCACTTTTAGAGCTGCTGGTGTGAGTGGTGTTAGAGCAGGGGGGAGCGATCCGCCATCTCTTATGTCACTGGGTGCAACAGAGGAGAGCAATGTCTTTACCAGATGTTCACTTCTATTTTTATTAGCATTTAAAAACCTGTAAACTGCTCCCCTCTCCTATGCCTCTTGGCGTGCTGCCACTGCGGCCAACGCCGCCGCTCTGACAGGATTATTTTATGGAGCCATTTAGCCGAGCGGTCGAGACATCACACGCCATATTTCTTAATTCTGTCGTTCCTTTTCAGCAGAACACAGGTGGAATGTGCATCACAAGTGTCATTATGGATGCTGATGACAAACTCACACACACACCAACACACACAGGGAGGCTTTGGTGGCTGCTGTGAATTGTGTGGTCCACCGTGATGTGCTCAACGTTAACCATTTATGTGGTTAATGTCAGCGATGACAGGGATGTAGAGAAGGAGCAGTGACCACGTGGTCTGTGTTAGAGAGGCTCAACCTTTAGCTTGTTGAGAAGGTGTAATTATAAGAAATATCTAAGTGTGACTATTTGTGCTGACCTCTGCTCCATCTGTCTGTCTGTCCGTCTGTCTGTCTGTCTGTCTGTAGGTGTTTGTCGTGACAGTGTGGTACTGGGAGTTTTACATGCTGCCCGCCTTCCTGGTTTTGCTCATCGTGAGAAACTACGCCTTGATCCGTTCTGGTCAAGACAGCCACGATCTGGTGAGTGTGAAGAGCGACTCCTCTCTTTGTCAGAGCGCTGAACTCCTGAGACACTTGTTCTTCCTGCTTCCATTTTTTTCTGTATTACATTTAAACACAACACATTTCAACTACATTTTACCACCCTGGTTAAAAGGCTGCTATATTTCTAAAAGAAAATGTACATATAATAAATAAACTATCTGCACCCCTGCATATAAGACACAATAATAAAAATAAAGTTCTCATGCAGAAGCATAGAAAACTGAGTGAACACGGTGTGAATCACCATGTGATTATGTTCAGAGCTTATTTTTTCAGTGCTTGTCCTTCTTCAACTCGTCCTTCTTCTTCTGCTGTCCACTTGTCCTCTTTGTTCCCTGTCCTGTGTCCTCCCTGAAGTTTTCAACACTCTCATATGAAAAGGTTGTAATTTTCTATGCTCTTTTTTTCCCCCCAGTGCTGCTTTTTTCTTCATTTTTGTGGAGGTTTTCTATACAGTGTAGTCCAATATATTTATTTATTTATTTATTTATATATATATATATACATATATATATATATATATATATACATACATACATACACATATACACACAGTTCTGGTCTCATAACACTCAACTAAATTTAAATAAACAGTAAATTGAATATACAAATTTACATTTTTACTAACTATAAAATGAGAAACATATATATGTACATTTACACACATACAAAAATATACACACATATATATGCAGTATATTTATGTAATGTTTAGCCATATATTGAAATGCTTAAAAAATAGAAGAAAAAATCGATTATATATATATATATTTTTGCAAATAATTTAATGTTTAAAATTGAATAAATATTTATCGCTACATTTAAAGCTACGATTGGGTAAAAGTTATCCTTTTTTTATTTTAGCTATCTTTTATTCTAAAACCTATTGTCAATTTATTCACTTTTGACATGTTTTCTTAATGCTTTTTGATGATTACTCAGTTATACAATTATTTTTCTTACTTTTCTTCTGTCAACTGTAAATGTAAATACTTGTCTTTGGCTCTTATAATATTTGACCCTCTACAAAATTAGCCCTTTAGCGTCATCTTAATTTGACAGATGTTAAAGTTCAGATTGTTTATTTCACATTTTTATTTCACATTTTTTTGTCGGCTCTTGTTGGCTTTTGTTTGAAATTAAAACTAAAATTGTACAATAAACCATTATTCTGTGGATATTATTTTTATCCACAGAGTATGTGACTCTGGACATTATTCTGTTGTTATTTCTGAGTCACATACGTTGTTGTTTTAAAGTCTCCATCAAATAACTGAGTCACATACGTTGTTGTTTTAAAGACTCCATCAGTAAAATAATGTGCAGCAGTGACTCTGACTCTAAAGTTAGTGACCGCTAACGACAGAAGTTGATTCACACGTCACAAGTCAATTCCCTTTTGTTTCAGGACAACATGGATGTGGGGGACGAAGATGATGATGACGAGAAGGTAAGATCATGCGCCGGCTGTTTATTTTTTTTCTACTTTTTTTTTTTCCCCCGACTCTGTTTCCTGCCGAGAAAGGTGTCTGTCTGTGACCAATAGTCTTTTTTTTCTTAAGCTCCTTATTCACAACTAAATCTGACGCATTTTGATTCCTGCCAGCAGTGAGTTGTATTTCTTTGTGAACTTGTGGTCGGGCTTAATAAAGACCTCACAGACCTGTTTCCACATGTCACAACACATTCAAATGCTAATAGAGGGGTGTGGAGAAAGCTGCTGCTGCTTTTGGGAAAGTCCCTCAGCTTAACTCACCATATAATACCATCAATATGGAACTAATGACAGCACTTAGACATGGTTTTTCAAAGCTCTTTCTAAAAGTTTGTGTTAAAAGTTACAATGCTTTCAGTCACTGAAATATTTCTTCAGAGCGGCAGCGGTTTGTTGTAAATGTTTTAAAGGGCCGGCGTCGGGCTGATATAAAGCGGGTCTCCTGCCGGTTCCAGTGGGAACATGACCCTAAAATGGCTAAAGTGCTTCAGTGCGATGATGTATTTTGGACTGAGGTGACACTGAATTATCTCTCTGACTGATGGCGGCTGCGCATCTGCCGTACTCCAGGTTTTCATCCCAGGCGCACATCTTTTCCCAGGCTCGTCTGCAGAGTCCTGATGGCTCCCAGCCAGGAGTCCAAGTGAACACACATCATAGAAATCACATAGTGACAAAAACCATGACTTTGGCCAGAAATACTCCCTCAACAACCATCACTGGCAACACAACGTCCCCACAGACCCATTTCCTTTCTCTAGTCCCATAACCCTCCTCTGCGTTTGATGTGGCCGTGTCTCCGTCTGAAGTCTGGCTCTGACCACTGCCATCTTCAGACAAATCTGCTGTCCTCTGTTTATGTTAAAGCTGTCTGTCTCTCGTGGGGCCTGGACTATTCCTTTTCTTTCATAATGTGAAGTCCAGTCTTACTATGAAGAGCTTCCACTTCAAAAAGACGCGTCCAGCCTCTGCCTGAGCAGACGCTCTTGTCCAGAGCGACGATGAATGAGGCTGTTCCACTGTTTTGGTTTCTTTCTCAGCGGCTGCGGTGGCCATTATCTTTAAGTGTTGCAGAGATCAAACCTGTGGCCTTGACATTTTCTCAAAATAAATCACTAGGAGCTCGGTTGGTTTTTAGGCTGAGCTGACAAATCACCTGAACTTAAAACCAGTTTTACTTTAGTTTTACTGTGTTTGGGGGAAAAAAAATCAAGATATTTATGGGGTTTTTTTTGTTTCAAGGAAACCATTTCAGTGAATCAAACTTTAATTTATAACAAAAAATTAATTGATCACAGTTTGCCATAAGTAACTTTAATGCTAAGTCACAGCTTAGGACTACTAAAAAAGTACTTTTATTGCTAATTATCACTAATCACAATTATAAAAAAATTTTACTCAATTGGTGTAAAAACAAACTATTTTATTTATTTATTTTATTTTCTATGATTATTTTTACCAGTTACTAAACTGATGAAACATTTGTGTCCAAGTTAAAAAAAAAAAAGACTTTTGTGTCTTTTCTTTTTTTTTTAGAAAAAAATTGTCAAAAATTGTCTCTTTTTTTTCCACTGAGTGACCTTCTCCTGAAAAGACCTGCAAACACAGAAACAGAAAGTGAGTTATTGAGTGTGTGCCGACAGGAATGTGCTGTTTACTGCGTTGCAGGAGTCGGAGAAAAAAGGGTTGATGGAGAAAATCCACATGGTGCAGGAAACCATCATCACACTTCAGAACCTGCTGGATGGAATCGCTTCTTTTGGGGAAAGGATAAAAAAGTAAGGACAACAGATGTTTTTTTTTTTTTTAACCTTTTATTCAATATTTTATTGCAGCGTCAGAGAGCTAAAATGATTACACAGCCAGTATTTTAGTATGCAGTGCATTCGACGCTGGTCAACAACAGAATAGAGGCTCGTTCGCTCATTTCCCGTCAGTGTAATTTAGGTCCGACTGTGAACTTCTGCCTGTCACCAGCTGCTGTCTCTGCCTTTAATTTGACAGCACGTTTAACTGGTCCGTGCCGTTCCTGTCCGGCCTGGCTCTCCTGGTGTTTGCCATTGCAGCAGTGCTGACATACTTCATACCCATACGCTACATAGTTTTACTTTGGGGTAAGTATTCTGATCTGTTTGCTTGTGTTTTTATATAAAATATTTTTTTGCTCTTGAACTCCAGCTTTTTATTTTATGGTTTAAACAATAAACTCTTCACATAAACCAGCATATCTTTCTTTAAAAAAAAAAAAAAAAAAAGCTTGCATTCTGTTCTAAAAACGTGTCGATACACTGCACCACCCTGCACTTTGTAAAGTGAAAGTAAAACAAGGCAGCGACACACACAAGTGGCACTGTGGGTAATGATTCTTAGACAGCAGCTGGCTGCTGCTCTGCAGCTGTTTGTGTGGAAACAACGTGTGCAGCCACAACAGACTACTGTTAATAATATGTTGGTGTGAATCTGTGTTTTAGGCATCAATAAATTCACCAAGAAATTACGGAACCCGTACGCCATCAACAACAATGAAGTGCTTGATTTCCTGTCGAGGGTGCCTTCCGACGTGCAGAAGGTAAGCCCTGCCGGATCAAGCGTCCAGGAAGCCCGAAATCCCAGAGCCCGCTAGTTTTGCATTTTACCACAACAACTCCCAGGCATTCGGCGCTCTCATATGTATAATTAGCTTCATCTGTATAATTACGTAGCCCCCCTGTATAATTTCAGTTGTGTTTTGGTCACGATACATCCCTGGTGGAGGTCTCTGCAGCACGGGGCTTTTCCCAGGCTGATACGGCGGACGCTGCTCCTCTCTCCTCTCCTCTCCTCTCCCCCGTTTGAACTCAGCATGAGCAGAGAGTCTCCCTGAAACTCACATCAACGTATAAAATGATCATTCACCAAATCTAACTGCTGACACAGAAATCAAATCAAACTGCGATATAGTTTCTGCTTCCAGCTGTGCTTCTTTGTCTGGCTCTCCCTTTTCTCCCCTCTCTTTATACAGTCCCCTCTCATCCTCACCCTTTGTGGCCGTTCTACTCTCTCTAAGCTGTTTGACCCCTTATTGTCCCGTCCCTCTTCTGTGACAGACATGGCTCTCTTTGTTTAACTCACTGGTCACACTACTGACCGCTGCTGTCGTGAACCGCAGTCCTCGCACTCGATATACTTGTCATTCCACACCTTGGGGTTTTTTTTCAGTGGAAATTGTATAGAAGCACCTGTATATGAGTGGAGAAAATGTGTTCTTTCTCTATGGTTGATGGGGTTTTTTTTTTCATGAATGTAGTGACAAACTCTCATCCGTTACAGGTTCAGTACAGTGAGATCAGAAGCAACAAAAGGAAAAAAGCACAGTGAACGTGCGCCGACGCTGCTGCGGCCGCGTCCGGTGGTCTGTTCAACGTCTGCCGAGCGCCGCTCTCCACGTTTCACGGGGTTGTGTTGGTTTGAATCCTAACTCTTTAGCACCAAAGCACCTTCCAACCATAAGCATCTGGGTTAAAGACTCTTGAAGGAGAGATTATTTAACCACTTTTTTTACTGACATGTCTGATGTGCATTTCTTGAGCAATTGGTTATATTTTTCTCCAAATATTTCTGGTGTTTTAATGTATGTACAGTCTATTTTAAAAGAAAATAATGTAAAATAGTGAGAGTGTGCGTGACGGGTATGTAAAAATTCTAAGTGTATATTTTATATATAATTTCCTGTACAATTACAAATATAACAATAGTGTAACTATAAAAAATAGTCACCATTAGAAAAGTAATTTTAATTATTACCAGAAACCTTTTTCTTAGAAATGTTTTTGTGTTTTTTTTTTGGTTTTTTTTTTGTTTTTTGTTTTTTTACATTTTAAACATCAGGTAAATGTTCCAGTTTAAATCTGTAACACATCGACATATTATAGAGAATGAGTTACTGTCACTTTTATAAACACACGTGCTGGGCTCAGACAGTCCTGACTGACTAGTCGCCAAAATGACAAAAATATTTTGATGTTTACATGAACAGGTGAGTAGTTGTTTCCACTTCTATGATTCCATTCATCCTACACACACAGGGCGTTCTGTACTTTATCATCCGTATCTTACAGCTACTGATTAAGACTCTGCTTCAGTGCTACCAGCAATAAACACACACACACACACGGTCCTTCAGTGCAGCATCTTTTTATCTGCCTCTCTGTTTCACTTCTCTCTGAATTCCCCTGCACAGCATCGTCTTCATTCTCACTCCTGTGCTGCAGGATGGTGGGAGTCAAACAACACCCTTCTTCTCAGCTCCCTCTCTTCATTAGGCTTTCATGAAGCGATGCGAGGCTGCTCGAGACCTCACTGGCACCCTGGCTCCCCACTGTGTTGACGGCCCTTGGGCGTCGCCACGAGCAGGAGGACCCCGACGACCTCTTCTCAGCTGCTGTGACGAGATGCCTGGAGCCAGCATCCTATCAGGCGCAGCAGCCAGACAAACCTCCGGTACCATTGTTGCTCACACACAGGAGCAGGATTTAAAAAAAAAAAAAAAAAAAAAAAAAAAAGCCACAACAAAA